CTCCCTCCAGCCTTCCTCCTCCCTGCCCCCTTGCCAGCCACACCCCCTCTGTGCAGACGTGCACTCCCCACACTCGCCTTTCTCACAACACCAGCAGGAGCCCCTGGCCCCTCCCACTCACTGTCAAAGTTTTCTGCTTTTCTCACTGGTTTGAGACGGTGTCCGACCCCTACTGCTCTGCTCCTCCTCAGCCCTTCCTCTCTGCTAATGGTCACTCTCCACCTTCATTGGAGCCGACCCCTCCGGGGCAGCAGTCAGCAGAGCGGTCGCTCAGTCCTTCTAAAAGCACCTCCTGCCTGCACTTCTGGGGTTCCACTTGGCAGTGCAGGGCATCCCATGGCCTGCTCGGAGCCCCTCTCTTCTCTGCTCAACCCAACCTGGCAACAGCAGTCCCGGTCCAGATAGAGCTCGGGTGGGTGGCCAGTTTCTGTTCTGGCCTCTGTCTACGCCTGAATGAAGCATCTGGGCCGGGCCTAACCTGCCCGTTGAGGTGCGCACAGACTTCTCCCATGGCCAGACTCAACCCCTCATCCTGCCAGCCCCATCCAGCAACGGGCTTACTACTCACACCCAACTGTGGGTTAACACAAGCTCCCTGAATACGTTTAACACAGATGAGGCCAAGCTACGGTGTGCAGAAGGTTGGGTGTATCAGAAGCATTATCCACTCAACGGTATTTTCAACTTACGATGGGGTTGTCAGGACATGACCCCAGTTACACCAAGGAGCATCTGTTAAACGTGCAAAGTATACAGTGCCATGAAGAAAAATAAAACAGGGAGAGGACTCAGGAAGTGGGGTGTCACATGCATAGGTGGCTGAGGAAGACCCCACTGAGGTGACGTCCTTAGGAGGGAGGGAGGGAGCCAGAGGACCTCACGGAGAGGAGGTGCCTGGCAGGAGTGGGGGATCTAGAGGGGGACTGGGAGGAGCCAGATGGTGAAGATGGTGAAGGCTCTTGAAGGCCAGAGGGTTCTGTCTTTTATCTGAGTGGAATCCTGGAGGGTTTCCAGCCAAAGCATATGATCTGATGAGTTTTCACAGGCTCACTGAGGCCGCCTGAGAGGAGATGGCAGAGCAGAGGCCAGGAGACCAGTGGGTGGCAGGGCGGTGTGTCGTAGACCTGGCAGAGATGGTGGCGGCACATGATTTCTGCATATGCTTCAAAGGTAGAACTGACAAGACTTGTGCGTGGATTATACAAGGGATGGAAAACAGAGGAGCTGGGGACCAGTCTAGGCTTTTGCCCACATAGCCGGAAGGACAGCCAAGGAGGACTAGAGAAGACATGGGCTCTCGGGTGACAGAGGTGGAAGGAGCCATCTGACCTGGACGGCTGAGGCTAGAGGACAGGTGCTCAGGCCAGTGGGCAAGTGCGCCGGTGGATGTCAAGGTGAGTTCAGGTGAAGGGTTGGTCCTGGAGAAGCTGACACTCAGAACTCAGACGACAGCTGGGGAGAGGGGAAGGAACGGCTGGGGAGTGTGATGCAGGAGAGGGAAGCATTTTGGGGAGATGTGGGGACTGCCCCCTGCCCTGCTCCATGGCATGTAACCATGGGAAGAGCAGTGCTGGTGGAGTGGCAGGGTGGGACTGAGGCTGGAGTGGGTCCAAGGATGGAGAAGGGGAAGGGGAGGGACTCCAGATATTCCCCAGGGAGCTGAGAAGTAGGGCAGGCGGGGCCGGGGGCTCTGTGTCCCGTTGTTCCAGTGGGAGAGCTTCCCTGCGTGGGAAGGGATGGGCTTGGGGAGGGGCTGAGACGTTTTATCCTGGGGTAGAGGAGGAAAGACAAGTGGAGGACCTCCTGCCTCGGCTGGCAGATGGCTGGGGCCCTGTGGAAGTCCCCTCTGGTGGCTTCTATTCCTCAGTTAAAGAGGAAGCAAGGGGCATGGGTGCGCTGAGAAGATGTTAGCAGTTTCAGGAGAAAATGGGGTGAAGCATCATCTGCCCGGAGAGCGAGTCCCCTGGGGAAATGTGGCAGGGCTGATCCCCACCAAGGTCCCGCCCCCATTTCAAGTCATCTCCTTCCTACCCACAGTCCTTCACAGATGCACAGCTTGTCACCTGACCGCCTCTCAAGTTCAAGGCTCCCCACAGGCACCTGGTGATCTTTGTATCCTCCCTGCCCCCCCCCCCCCGCCCACCCTCCAAGGCCTGGGCACTCTCCCTGAATGTTGCCTAATCCTCTGCCTCTAGGCCCAGCCACACCCTGCAGCCCGCCCAAGGTCTCCTAGACCTTCCAGCTCCATCCACACCCAAGGGACCTCTGAACCAAGGGTCATGTGTTCCAGCCCCTGCGGGGAGACGCCACAGATGCCACAGCTTCAGTTAGTTGGCTCTGGGGTCCAGACCCCACCCCCAGAGCAAGACAAACCCCAACCCCTCATTCACAAGACAAAGCCCATTGACATCCTGGCACAAAGCCCAGGCTTCTGGGCTCAAATCTCAGCTGTCACTCACACTCTGCCCAAGCCTCCTGGGTCTCCCTGAAAAGAGCCTGTTTCCTCATCTGCAAACTGAAAGTGATCATGGCATCGAGGAGCCGTCGGTGAGATGGAGCACACACAAGTGGGTGGCCCCAGCCTTGGCCCACAGCAGCAGCCACACTAGTCAATCCTTTCAACGTGGGTGTACAGCAGGCCCGACCCATGAGGACCAAGACCAGGGAGGAGGCAACAGCGGTCGTGGGGCCACACCCCCAGCCCACACAAGTCCCATCTCCAGAAAATCCAGGCTCCTGGGCCCTGTGCTGTGACTGGAGAGGGGATGGCAGGGTCCCTCCCAAATGCTGTGGGGTGGGCCTGGGGCTGGTTTGCAGCTGTCCCTTCTGCCTTCTCTCCCACAGCAGGGCACAGAGCCTCATCAATAGGGTGGGCCTCAACTTCCCCTTAGCCAGCCTCACCCAATATTCCAAGCCCAGGACAGGCCTTCATCTGTGCTATGAAGCAGTTTACTCTGTATCCTCTATTACAGCCTGGGGACTCAGTGATTTTGCATTCTGTCTATCCCAGTGTCTGAGGTCACAAGCTTTGGGGGAGTGAGGGCACCTGACAGCCACTTGTCACTGGGCTTCGGTCCTAGTCCTGCCAATCACCCAAAGGCCCCAGAATGACTCAGCTTGCATCACCTCAGCAGAGGGCAAAGGCCCGTGCCCTGCGGCCTCAGCACCCCAGCCCAGGCTGACCTGGCATTGACTCACAGGCTGCTGGAACCTCGGACTGGGCTGCCTGGGCCTGTAGCAGCTGGGATGGGCTTTCCTGGCCCACAGTTAAGGCGGGGGGGTGGGGGGCACTCACCTGCCATGGCGCTGGTGCTGGCGTGGGCCCAGCAGGAGCCGCAGTACTGGGGGATGTGCTGGTTCCTGGTGATGCTGGCATAGTTGACACCACCCACGTTGCGCCAGTCCCAGCTCTTGGGCAGATCCGCTAGCGACAGGTACTCATGAGGCCGGGGGTATGTGCTGGGAAGAGAACATCCCCACCCAGATCAGTGCTGGGCTCCTGGGGCTGCCAGGCCGGCTTCTGGGGCCATGGGCCCAGGAAGCTCTCGGTAGGTTGGTAGGGCCCTCCAGCCCTTCCCAACACCGGAGGGCATGGGAACGGGGCCACAGTCAGCAGGTGTGAGCCAGGTGTGGGCCCACCTCACAGGAGGAGGCCCCAGGGCCCTCAGAATGTGAAGGAGGCAGGGCACCCCTGAAACGAGGGAACCGGGGTGTTCCCCAAGCCATGGGGGCCAACCCCGGAGGCCGAGGAGGTGGCGCTGGTATGGCTTTCTGGCCAGGTGGGGCTTGTCCAACGCCACAAACATCAGGGCTCTCCCTGGATGTGGAAGAGAAGGAGAGACCCCAAAAACGAAGCGGTTAGATATGACCTTCCAAGACCCAGTGGCGAGGCAGGGTCCCCAGGAGGCAGAGCGCGCGCCCGGCCCGTGAACTGGGCCTCCCGTCCCCCCAGGGCCGCCTCCCCGCCGGCGCCCACCTGCGCCCACGCGGAGCCAGCGGGTCCCCGCTCAGGGGCCGGTAGCAGGTCTGGCCCGGGCGGAAGTAGAGGCCGCACTGCGCGGCGCCCGCCAGCAGCACGAGCAGCAGCAGCGGCCGCCAGCCCGGCCCGCGCCCCGCCATGGCCCCGCGCCCCGCCATGGCCCCGCGCCAGCTCTCGGGTCCCGCGCCGGCTTCTAGGTCCCGCTCTCGACCCCGCTCCGGGCCCCAGATCCCACGCCGGCTCTCGCCCTGGATCTCGCCCCGCACCCGGCCAACCCCGCGCTTTAGTTCCTGCCCCGCTCGGCCCTTAAAGGCGGCGGCGGCCGGGCCGGGACACTCCCTCGGGGCGGGGCTGTCCCATCGCGGCTCCTGCCCCGCCCGGTGACCTCGCCCGCCCCGCCCGGAGCAGCACCCTGGCCCCGGGGCGCCTGAACTCGTGGGCCAGGCGCGAGGCCACCGGGCAGACCCCAGTCCTGACCCCGCCGCCGGCCGCCGCGAGCTCGTGGCCTTCTGAGCACGGTACTGTCCAGCTGGACTCATTTGCCGGGGTTCTTGGCCTCGGGGTTGGAGGCCGCCTTGGCCTGCATTCCCGGGACCTTGAGCCTTGGAGAGAGGGCCCCAGCCTCACATCCCCCCTAGGAAGGGATCCTGGGAGCGGCCGCAGAAAGATGCCTGCGCCTGGCTTTTCAAACCCTTTCCCAAAGTCCCAGACCCTTTTGGATGAACGGTTCCCTTTTGCAGAGAAGAGGGATCCTTCTAGAAAATGACCCTAAAGGAAAATTCCGCTGGGCTCATACATCAGGAGTTCTGCAACGTGACTTGCAAAGCTGCCTGGAAAGCTTTTCTGAGACTGAAACTCTTAGTCAAATGAGGAACCAAAAGCAGAAGTCACCCCTCAGGACGTGGTTTTGCAACTGGAGGAGGGCTCCCCTCTCCCCACCGCCACTCTGAGTGTCTGTCTTGGCCCGCGGGCCACACCATGGCCTCCTGCTCTGGTAAGAACAGGCCTGGCATTCTGGGCCAGGCTTACAGGCCCTTGCTAGGGGCCTTTGGCACAGGGTCCACAGATGAGCTTGCTTGGCTCTCTCCATCCTCAGTGGCGCTCACCATATTCTGAGGGTGCCTCGTGGGCAAGGGGAAGTCACAGTGGCTGCCTCTTGACTTCCAGCAGCTTCCATGGCCATTCCTGGAAGGGCTGAGGTGGCTGTGGAGTGGAGAGCCAGGCTGAAAGCTGCTTTGTCATCCCAGAAGTTTCAGTCCTTGTTCCCCAAAAAGCAGTCACCGAGTCAGCGTGTGGACCCGGAGCTCTATCTGCTGATGTGTCTATTTTTTTGGCAAATTGCTCGTGGAAAACATTAGTGTCCATCAGTCATCGGAAGGCAGTGTGGGGGGGCTGTCCTGGGACAAGCACCCCAGGTTGAGCTGGCGGTGGGGGTGGGAGCCAGGCCTCCTAACCTCTGGCACAAAAGGAGTAGAAAGAGAATTGCCAATGGTTGGGGGAGTGGGTTTCTTTCTCCCAGGTCAAGTCTGTGGCCTTCCTGACTACAGGAACTGGGTCCTTGTGTGGAAGAAATCCAGACACAGTTGCCCCTGCCAGGTCATCAGTTGGCATCTACCAAAGCAGCCAGTTTTTGGCCTCTTCTAAAGAAAAAGCTAAGAACTCACAAAATTGTGCGGCAAGAGACATTGTGCCCCCTCTCTCCATGTACCCGTAGACGGTCAGGATCCGGGTGCTATGAAGCCCAGCAGCACATTCTACAGCATGAGAAACAGAAGCCTGGAGAGGGGAGGGCCCCTGTGCTTGGCCTCTGATGCCTGAGCTGTGATGTCCTGGGCCCTCTTCCCTGAATCTGGGTGAAAGGCACCCAAAGTGTAAGCTTTTCTTCCCTGCAGCATGGGGAGAGCTGGGTGCTCTGAAGATAGCCCAAGACTCTCCGAGCAGGTTCAGCCTGTAGAAACTATCATGACAGGCAGGGCCAGCGAGGCAGGCAAATGACCCCTGTAGTAACATGGGTCCCAAGTCCAGAAGTGTAAGGCAGGGCTGAACAAGGGGCCCCGCAAGGTTCACTGTGACCTGGGTCTACATAATTTGCCAGCAGCCGCACCTGCTTGGTCACAAGTCCTGTATATCACTCGCTTTCAGCCCACAGCCTCTGGCTAATCAAACTCACAGACAAGGATCAGGAGGAGGGGTGAGAAGGTCAGGGAGGACAATAAGCATTCACAGTCCTGCCCTGAATGCTGGCACAAGCCTTCATTTATCAGGGGAGTTCCAAAGAGGGGATTGTCCAGATTTACCCTATTGAAAGTTGGTTAAAGGGAAGGATATTTTTAGGCTGGTAACAAAAAGGACATCCAAAGTTGACAAGTTGTGGCTCCTGGGTTTCCCTCACATAGAAGTAACTCAAGCTCAGAATCTGATGGAAGAACAGGGCAGGAAGAGAGGGAGGGAGTCCATCCATTTGAAATCATCATTTGCAGGCCAAGAAGGAAGGAAGGGGTCCTGATAAGACTTACGTCTTCAGCCCCTTCTGATGGGTCAAACAGAAAACCAAGTGGATGTGGGGCTCCTCATCTCTGAACCTGGCTCTGGTTGAGTTGATGCATGTCTGGCTACCGAGAAGCTGGCTGGCTGTGTCATTTTGGGGGTTCCTAAAATTGTGCAGCACAGGATCCTAAATCGATTTTTGTGTTTTTTTGGGGTTTTGGGTTTTTGTTTGTTGTTTTTTTCCTTAACTCAATGCAAGATTCTAAACATAGTCCTTTGAAGGGTGGGGGTGGAGTAACCACAAACCCATCCACACTCGGATTCCAGAAGGAGGTTTAGCGGGAGGAGCTCTCTGAAGGGCATGCAGATAAAGCCAGGAGGTGTCTGGGACTGGAAAAAGAGGAGGGGGCACTCTGGGAACCTGCTAGACAGGCCATCCCTGGCCGTTTTTTGTTGGCGACTGCTTGCTGGGGTTTGAGTATAGCCCCAGAGCTGTGTCTCTCTTCAAAGCAGATTCACCTGCAGAGCTGCTTGGGGACTCCTGGAAACCTGAAAGGTGTGCTTCCTTCTGACTTGGCTGCAGGTGCCTGCAAGGTGGTTTTGTGGATAGTGACTCATCTCATCTGGGCCCAGATCCGAGAAGGCTCGGGCAGGGCACTTAGACCTTCGTACCTGTGAGGCCCTGCTTGCCTAAGCATTGCTTCTAGCAGCTCATTATAAGCAGTTGTGTGCCACCACCTTCCAGCTTGGGGCAGAATCAAGTAGGTATTGAGAGCGAGGCATCTCCCTTGAAACCACTTTGCCTGGAAAGCTGGGCACCTGTCCTGTGTTTTCCTTCCCAGGAGTCATTCCTGCTCCCAGTGGTGCTTGAGGGCCGAGGGCTGAGCCAATGACATTCTAGAGGACTCTGCAGCCACATTTGATCCTCTGCACAATGCTGTAAGGTGGGGGTGGGGGTTGGGAGGCAGATGCTATGACTCCATTCTCCTGGTGAAAAGACTGAGCCTCTGGATGGCAGGTTTGCCTGGGTGTGCTCAGCTCAAGTCTCCTGGGTGGCAGGTTTGAATCCAGACCCCCCCTTTTTTTAATCCTGCGAAGTCTCCTGGAAAACACATGATCCAAGGCCACAGACACAAAAGCCTATTCATTTCTACAAAGAAGGCTGATCTTTCTCCTCATTCTAATAACGATCAGTGCACATAGGCCAGGGCTCGCCCACCTTCCCAACCTGGAGGAGGACAACATAGATGAGTTTTAGTTGGTTGTGGAATGGCCTCGAAATTCTTTTTTTCCTCCTTCCTTTGTGTATTGTCTGGCTCACACCCTGGCAAGCTTCGGACATTTCCTATTGTTCCACATGCCTGAGTTTAGCCACATCCTGGACACCGGCATCTGTTTGGGTGGATGCCGGCAGTGCTTGCTGGGCTAGGCTGCTTTTGCAGGGTGCAACGGGTCCCTCACCAGCTACAGGAGCTGCTCTTGGTCCACTTGGTGAGTGGGTCAGAGGTACTCGCTAACACCCAGATTCCGCTGCAGGGCAGGCCTTCAGATGGGTTGGGTCAGGTGTGCAATCCACTTCATCACCGTCCGTAGGCACCACCGTGCATCACATCCTGGCCTGGTTGTGTTATGGGAAAGGGGATCCCAATCTAGACCCCAAGAGAGGGTTCTTGGACCTCACGCAAGAAAGAATCCAGGAAAGTATATAAAGTGAAAGCAAGTTTATTAGGAAAGCAAAAGAAGAAAAGAATGGCTACTCCATAGGCGGAGCAGTGGCATGGGCTGCCCCAGCTAACTACTCATTGTTACTTCTTGATTATACACTAAACAAGGGGCGGATTATTCAGGAGTTTTTTGGAAAGGGGTGGGCAATTCCAGGAACTGAGGGTTCCTCCCCTTTTTAGACCACACAGGGTCACTTCCTGATGTTGCCATGGCATCTGTAAACTGTCATGGTGCTGGTAGGAGTGTCTCTTAGCAATGCTAATATATTATAATTAGTGTATAATGAGCAGTGAGGACAACCAGAGGTCACTTTCATCGCCATCTTGGATTTGGTGGGTTTTGGTTGGCTTCTTTATCACAACTTTTTAATCAGCAAGGTCTTTTTTTTTTTTTTTTGAGAAGGAGTTTTGCTCTTATTATCCAGGCTGGAGTGCAATGGTGCAATTTTGGCTCACTGCAACCTCTGCCTCCTGGGGTCAAGCAATTCTTATGCCTTAGCCTCCAGAGTAGCTGGGATTACAGGTGCCTGCCACCACATCCAGCTAATTTTTTTGTATTTTTTTAGTAGAGATGGGGTTTCACTGTTGGCCAAGCTGGTCTCAAACTCCTGACCTCAGGTGATCCACCCACCTCAGCCTCCCAAAGTGCTGGGACTAAAGGCGTGATCCCATCAGCAAGGTCTTTGTAACCTGTGCCTTGTGCCGATGTTCTATTTCATCCTAGAATGCCTGACCTCCCAGGAATACAGCCCAGTATGTCTCAGTCTTATTTTACCCAGTCTCTATTCAAGATGGAGTCGCTCTGGTTGAAATGCCTCTGACAATTGCACTGTGACTGGTGGCCCACACTTGCTTGGGTGTGGATGTGGCTCCTTGGGCTGACATTCATGAGGGCAGCCCCATCAGGGTCACCTTCAGAACACACCCTGTGTGGCACAGCATGTAACAGACACAGCCCACCATGAACTCACCAGGAAGTTTTCAAAGGGGCACTCAATAACTATACCCAATTGAATTTGTTTGCCCTCTGAAGTTAGGCTGTCAGCAAATGTTTGTTGAGCACCTAGAATGTGCAGGCTACTGTTTTCTTCCCCAGGGATTTGGCAGTGAACAGAGTCTCTGCAGGGACTTACATTTTCTGCATAAGGGAAGACGTGGAAAAGTAAAATGCTCAGGAGGTAGGAAGTGCTTGGAAACAGATAAAATGGGGAACAGGAGAGATGGTGGCGGCGGGGGGTCGGGGGGCTCTGGAGAAGTTTGGTCTGGGACCAGTGAGCTGGGATCCAATAGAGACAACCATGGAAAGTGCTGGAAGGAGACTCAGCAGAAGGAAGAGTGTCTGCAGAGGCCTGAGAATGTGAGCGCACTGGGTAAGTGTGTGATGCACTAGAGAAAGCCCATGGGGAGGCCGCGGACAGGTGGCCTCAGGGTCCAAGCTGCAGGGACCATAACAGGGGCTCTGCTGGCCTCCTTCATTCCCCACCTCGTTTCCCTGCCCCGCCTCATGGGGTGTGTGCATTATGCAAGATCCGAAGGCACACCTGGACTTTCCTTTTGTAAGAGGTTTGGGTTTCCTCCCAGTTGCCACTGGCTTTCCAGGATGGCGGTGGATGAGAGCTGACTTCTGTTTGTAAGATCCCTCTGGTGGCTGTGGGAAGGATGATATGAGTGGAGGCAGCTGTGGGACAGGAAGGGCCCTGGAGGGGAGAGCCATAGGTGATGGATGAGGAGTGCTGCTGGAGGGAAGGGGAGAGAAGATGCAGCAGGGCATCCATCTGGGAGCAGGGCTTGCAGGACGTAGTTACAGAGTGAGGAACAGGAGACATGAGCACCCCGGGCTCCTGAAGCATGCCTCTTGACATCTTGAATTGTACCCCTGGATGTAGGTGTCTGAAGACCTGCAATCCATTTCAGCTTCTGCCACATTATCCTGAGACTTGAACATGTCAATTCCTCTCTGAGCCTTAGTTTCTTCTACATTGTGGTGGGAACCATCACTCAGTTCGAAGGTGGTTGTGTCGTGCAGGCTAAACGGGGGGCATGTAGGAGCTGGTGGCGGCAGAGAAACTGGTAAAGACCCATAGAGCTGGAAGCTAGTGCTGCTTTCACCCTCTAAGTCCCTGGAGGGCAGGGCCCATATTTTCCGCTTTTCAGAGGTCCCTCAAAACTCATACATCAGAGATTTCTTGGACAAACACTGGGCTTGAAGTATATATTTTTGTTCGATTTCAGCTCCAGGTGCTGCCCCATTTGATGCTTACCTCTGTGCACGCCACAGAACACTGTTTATCACTAGCTGCACACCTTGGAGATGGGACAGCAGCAGCTGAGAAGGTCCACCTGTCTATTCCTTTTAGATCTTTGCAGCAGTTCAGGAGAAGTGGTGGTGGTGGTAGGTGTATGTATGTGTGTGTGCTTCCTTTTATAAATCAGAGATGCCACAGCCAGCATGCTGGTTACCAGTGCACCCAGAGGGACAGCCAGGTGTTTCTACTCTCTGGGCTTGGAGGCTGGACAGGCAGCCAGTCCGCCTGGTTCCGGACCATGAGCATCTCAGCTGTGGGGGAAGAAGGTTAACACTTCTGGCTCAGTGGAAACCAGCAATGTTCTCCTAGTCCTTCTCCTCTTGTAGTTATTCATCCTCCTAGAACTTTCTTTTCCAGTAAGAGAACACACACCGAGGCAGAGTACAAGAAAGTGGAGCTCAGCTCCTCTGGCGGCCTGCCCACACCCGCTGAGTCACTCATAATGGCCCCTCAGATGTCATTTTCTTGCTAAGACATTTGGAAAAATTTCTGCATCTGAATCACACACAAACACTATAATTCAACAATCTTCTATGAGTTATTCAAGGAACTTCAATGCGCTCAGAAGTGGAAGATCAGGGGCGGATGAAATCAATGAATGCTCTGAGTGCTCTGTTTTTCTCCGAATTATGTCTCATTTGCCAAATGGAGGGTGGGGGCAGCTCCACCTGACCATTGGGGACAACTCCTGGGGGAAGTCTGGAAGCAGCCGATATAGGGTTTCTGGGTGACACTGGTTTTTCTTATCTTTCTGGCTCTATTCCTGTAATAGACCCAAGTGTCATGCAGGAAGAGGCTTGCTGCCACAGAGCCTTCTGTGGGCTGCAAACTGTGTCAGGCCACTAGAGGAGAGGGTTTCAGGCTCAGGGCTGGACTGGTCCCGGTTGGGAATCTGTGTCGGGGGCTGTGGGAGTCCTGGCCACACTTGCTAGGAGGAAGCTCCTGCCCTCTGCCCTCTGAGGCAAAGATTGCTGATCTCCTTACTTAAATGCAGTCACTGCTAACCTGCCTTGGTCATAGCCCTTTGTGGGGGGCAGGAAACGACTCTCATTCATCACAGTGGCCACTGTTACTCACTTGCTGCAGTTCAGGACTGGGCGTTCACTTTCAGCCTGGCAAAACAGACTTTGGGGTCATGCTGGCATCTCCAGGGGCACCGTTCACATGTGTCCTGTACAGGGGCCACTTCTGCCAGTCCGAGGGCAAGGCAGTCTGTATTCCCCACCTCACTGCTGGCATTAAGGGGCCAATCAGAGGAGAGCTGTTTCCTCTGGGGAGCAGGTACCTTCAGAAACAAGGACAAGAATACAAAAATTAGCTGGGCTTGGTGGCGCATGCCTGTAGTCCCAGCTACTTGGGAGGCTGAGGTAGGAGAATCGTTGAACTCGGGGCGTGGAGGGTGCAGTGAGCCAAGAGTGCACCGCGGCACTCCAGCCTGGTGACAGAGGGAGACTAAGTCTCAAAAAAAAAAGAAAAGAAAGAAAGAAAAAGAAACAAGGACAAGAGAGCTGAGACAGGAGCTGAGACTGCTTTCCAGATCTGCTACCTTTCCTGCACTCTGCTCTGCCCAGACATGTGAAATGGAGACAGGCCCCGGTGCGCACAGCCATGCCAAGCCTGCTGCCTGGCAGGTGCGCTGTCCTTAGGTGTGGAACTCGTGGATCTGTCTGCACCAAGAGCCACATCTCCTTCTCCCACCCTGCAAAGTCCACTTGAAAAACACCACTGGCAGCCCTGAGTTGGGGGTCAGCCCTGGCAGGCTCAGTCCTCACACTGACTTGTGACATGGGGACTGCTATTTCATTTTCCACATGAAAAGATTTAGGTCAGCCAGGCGCAGTAGCTCATGCCTATAATCCCAGTACTTTGGGAGGCTGAGGCAGGTGGGTCCCCAGGTCAGGAGTTGGAGACCAGATGGCTAATATGAAAATGGTGAAACCCCATCTCTACTGTAAATTAGCCAGGCATGGTAGTGTGTGCTTGCAGTCTCATCTGCTTGGGAGGCTGAGGCAGGTGAATTGCTTGAACCTGGGAGGCAGAGGCTGCAGTAAGCTGAGATCGTGTCACTGTACTCCAGCCTGGGCGCAGAGCAAGACTCCATCTCAAAAAAAAAAAGAAAGAAAAGAAAAAAATTCAGGTCTAGGGAGGAGTTGGGCCCCTGGGGGTAGAGCTGCCACTCTGCCCCTCGCCCTCTCACAGCCCAGCGTCCAAAGCTCAGCACCCGCCAGGCCTGAATAAACACAGCTGGCGATACAGGAATCAAAGCAAACAGGGCTTCTCTCTTTTTCCCCCTTTTTGCCAACTGCCCCATTAACAGAAAAACCTTTTAAGCACCCATCTGGAAACCTGGCTTTTTCCCTTCCCTAAGCAAACTGAGATGACCGCAGAGTGGAGGTTGGGCAGAGGACCCTGAACCCTGGATCCTGCTCACGTGCTAAAGAATGAACACAGGCAGATCAGAAGTGCCCAGCCCAGCCCAGTGGTCCCTACAGCGAGGTGGTCTGTGGCCAACAGGGGCTCCTTTTAGGAGCTGGGCCACACGAGGCCGCAGCTGCCCACTGGCCACACCTTCCCACAATAGCTCACTACGGTTATCCATCTATCTACCGTCTGTCCCCAAACATCCAGGTTCTTGGAACAGTTTATACTTTCAGCCGAGACCACCTCTTATGGAATGGAGGAAAGAGGTGACCCCACCTGGAGAAGGGCACACTTGTGAATAAATACATCACTGGCTTTACAAACTCAGCCCGCTCTGACCATCACTGCTCAAACTCACCCAGCTAGCTGTCCATGTGGCCTCAACGAACATGTACTGAGGCCCTGCCATGGATCAGGCACTTTGGGGACTCAAAGATGAAGTGACATGGGCAACTCCCAGGCTGGCAGGAGATAAGGAAAGTGTAGAAGTAATCAGCAAACAGGACTGTGTGTGGGCCTGCAGGTGGAAGTGCTCTGGTCCCCAGGAGGGGAGGTGTCTCTGGCCAGGGAACTGCCTGCGGGGAGATCATGGAGCATCTTTGACCTTTGGAGGAGTCTGACAGGGGTCCCTGGGTGGGGAGGGAGGTTGGGGAGAGCTGGGGGGAGGAGGACAGAGAGAAGGAGAAAAGAGGCCAAGGCTCACAGGGAGAGAGGTTGGAAGTGAGGCAAGATGGGCTAACATCTATGGAAACAATGTTCTGTTCTGTGTGCACTTTTTAATTTCTGAAAAATACTGCTGAGAATCCCATTACTGGATACATACCCAAAGGATTATCAATCATTCTACCATAAAGACACATGCACATATATGTTTATTGCGGCAATGTACCTAATAGCAAAGACTTGGAACCAACCCAAATGTCCATCAGCAATAGACTAAAGAAAATGTGGCACATATACACCGTGGAATACTATGCAGCCATAAAAAAGGATGAGTTCATGTCCTTTGCAGGGACATGGATGAAGCTGGAAACCATCATTCTCTGCAAACTAACAAGAACAGAAAACCAAACACCGCATGTTCTCACTCATAAGTGGGAATTGAACACTGAGAACACATGGACACAGGGAGGGGAACATCACACACCAGGTTCTGTTGTTGGGTGGAGGGCTTTGGGAGGGATATCATTAGGAGAAATACCTAATGTAGATGACGGGTTGATGGGTGCAGCAAACCACCATGGCACGTGTATACCTATGTAACAAACCTGCATGTTCTGCATATGTATCTCAGAACTTAAAGTATAATAATAAAAAACAAATAAAAATACTGCTGAGGACATATGAATATCCTCCTCTTGAATTTACACATTCTTCTCTTTACCTTTGGGCAGGGAGGAGTTGGGTGCTTCATTCTCCAGCACTCAAGGTGAGCCCAGCATATGACAGGGCCCCATCCATAGCTGTTCAATGAATGGGGGCAGCCTCAGAATGAACACAGGCAGATCAGATGCTGAAGAGAGGCTTCAGAAGGCAGGTGCTCACTGATGGTGGTTGCCCACATCCTCGGGGTGTCAGGAGTGAGATTTGCCCTGTACCTTCCCTTGTATCTTCACCTCTGGAGCACAGTAGGCACAAGGCCGTGCCTACCAGCTCTCCCCTCTTCTGAGCCACAGCTCTCACGCCTTCTCAGGGAGTCCATTTCCCCTCTTCTCTGGAAGCCTCAACCTCATCTCCAGGTGGTAGGGAACTGCCACCCTCTTGGGCAAGGATATGGAGCTGGTGTTTGGCCCGGATGCCCTTGCATGTTTGGAGGTAATGAAGCCTAGGGCTGGCTTTCGATGTTGACGGAAGCTTGAGGGCAGGGGATGTGCTGAGGACCAGGAGAATGAACTGCTGCTTTCCGGCGGCTGAGTACGGCGCATGAGAGAGTGTAATGGTGTTTTGTTTTGTTGAATCTTGCTCTGTCGCCCAGGCTGGAGTGCCGTGGCATGATCTCGGCTCATTACAACTTCCCCCTCGCAGGTTCAAGCGATTCTCATACCTCAGCCCTCTGAGTAGCTAGAACTACACGTGTGCGCCACCACACCTGGCTAATTTCTGTATTTTTAGTAAAGACGGGGTTTCGCCATGTTGGCCAGGCTGGTCTTGAACTCCTGATCTCAGGTGATCCACCCACCTTGGCCTCCCAAAATGCTGGGATTACAGGAGTGAGCCAGTGCACCCGGCCCTAAGAGAAGGCAACGGGGAGTCCATTTTGCTCATGCAGAATTCAGGGTCTGGTAAAGGGACCTTATGGCAAACATTAAGACTCCAGATGCCATGACAGGAGTGATGGAGCGACAGAACGGGAGCTGCGAAGGGTGCTGAGGGGCAGCCCAGCCCTGGCACGGACAGGGCAGGTGTCCGAGAGGCCTGCAGGGCACTGCAGAGTAACTGGCAGACAGGGTGAGAAAGGGCATGTCAGGGATAGGCGGGCAGACAGTGTCTGATGCTGGCAATACCCGTGATCTGCCAGGTCCAGCCGTGGATCCTTTCACTGTATCGGAGCACGGGGCTTCTGGAGACCAAAGTCTGGAAAATGGGCTGGGAAGTTGGACAGGGAAAGCCCTTGGAGGTGGTCTGGTCACCTGGGTGAGCGAGGAGCCAGTCATCACACCACGGGCATCAGAGCAAGCATGGGTGCCTAGAGGCCTGCAAACAGTGCCAGCCTCCAGGCCCTGTGCACCGAGGCGGCCTTTAATCTTGCACTCGCTCTCTAGGAAATGATGGGGCAGTATTCTGTGTTGAGAGAGGAAAAACACCCTCTCCCAGAAGCATGACAGGCAGAAAGCAGAGAAGGGCCAGGACTGGCTGAGGGCGGGGAGCTGGGCCTCTGGGGTGGACACACCCTTGGGTCACACTGTGAGGGGTAGCTTGGTCAGCCAGTCCCACCACTGCAATGACTCACACCAGTGTTGGGCTCACACCAGTGAACCGAGGCTCTGGACTCTGAGGATTCTGTGAAGATCTTAGACTTGGGCTCAGAGCAAGGATGCGTGAAATTGTCCACATTCAGATTGGCCAGTGTGGCAACCAGATCGGAGCCAAGGTAAGTAACGTCTGGTTATAATCCTAGCTTTGCCACAGTCCATAGAGGCAACCAACCAAGAGAATACCTTAAGTTAGCAGGGAGCACAATAAGTCTAGGCGATTTTGTGCACTTGCTAAATATCAGACAATGCCTTTAGGCTTTATAATAATTCTTAAAAAAATTTTTTTTCACACAAGAAAAGAAGGAAACAATCTTTAATTAAAGAGATGCAAGACACATTAAGGGCTTAGAGTGTTAACTAATTTTGTCCATAGATACATATGTACAATACATGCCAACCATTATATATGTTTATCACCTTTTTTGGAGACAGTCTTACTCTGTTGCCCAGGCTGGAGTGCAGTGGCACAATCACAGCTCACTATAGCCTCAACCTCCTGGGTTCAAGCTATTCTCCTGCCTCAGCCTCCTGAGTAGCTGGGATTATAGGCATGCACCACTATGCCTGGCTAATTTTTTTTTTTTTTTTGAGAGATGGGGATCTCATTTTGTTGCCCAGGCTGGTCTTGAACTCATGGGCTCAAACGATCCTCCACCTCAGTCTTCCAAAATACTGGGATCATCTTTTTTTCCTTTTCTGGTTTTTTTTTTTTTTTTTTTTTTTTTTGAGACAGAGTTTTGCTCTTGTTGCCCAGGCTGGAGTGCAATAGCATGATCTTGGTTCACCACAACCTCCGCCTCCTGGGTTCAAGTGATTCTCCTGCCTCAGTCTCCTGAGTAGCTGGGATTACAGGCATGCATCACCACACCTGGCTAATTTTGTATTTTTAGTAGAGACAGGATTTCACCATGTTGGTCAGGCTGGTCTAGAACTCCTGACCTCAGGTGATGTGCCCAGCTTGGACTCCCAAAGTGCTGGGATTATAGGTGTTAGCCACAGTGCCCAGCCCACTTTGATCATCTTAACAATGAACTTTATATATCTAAAAATAGTAATTTGTCTCAAAACAGCTTTTTGAAGTTTGTTGAGGAACTTTCTATACCCTGTCACTAAGGTGTCTTTTCCCTCCCTTCTCATGTTTATTATAAAGCTTAAAAAAATCAATTACTGGTGGTGCACGATGGCTCACGCCTGTAATCCCAGCACTTTGGGAGGCTGAGGCGGGCGGGTCATGAGGTCAGGAGTTCAAGACCAGCCTGGCAAACATGACAAAATCCTGTCTCTAATAAAAATACAAAAATCAGCCTAGTGTGGTGGCAGGTGCCTATAATCCCAGCTACTTGGGAAGCTGAGGCAGAATTGCTTGAACCTGGGAGGTGGAGGCTGCAGTGAGCTGAGGTTGTGCCACTGCACTTCAGTCTAGGTGATAAAAGCAAGATTCCGTCTCAAAAACAAAACAAAAAAACAAGGAAAAAATCCACCAATTACTGTTTTATTAGTATGCAATTGAAAATTTAAGAGGTAGACCTAAAATAAAGTTTCATGTACAGTAGCAGAATTAATCAAAATATGCCCTCTGGACTATAAATAATTTTTTCTCTCCCTTACCCCCCTGCTTAAAATTTTCTATGAAGTACCTAACTCAATAGGCCAACCCCAAGAACGCAGGTGCCTGAACCCACGATCTCCAGTCTTGATTTTAAGATGACCAATTGCACTGTGCAAAATTTACCGTGTTCTCTGCTATTGTGAAGTTACTGTATGAGTTGCACTAAAAGTAAGGTTTTAAAACACCTACATTCATCATCCATCAATGACACTTGGGTTGTTTCTGCCTTTTGGCTACTGTGAGTAACAGCAACTAAGGCTTTTAAACGCAGGTGTTTTAAACCCGGGGCAAAGAACATTACTGCTTGAAAAGTCACCATTCCTCCACGCCTCGGGGTAAGACATTCATAACTAACACACAGAGAAGTGGCAGGCATGAGCCCTGCTGCTCTGAAGCTGGAAGATAATATGGAGAGGGCCCTCGGGAGAAGCTGGCTGGCTTTAGATAGGGTCTCAGCTCTCACTCTGGAATCACGTTGTCTAGTGTTGAGAGTCCTGGCCAACTCATAATTTGGAGCCATAAGAACTTTAAGACACATTTAATTTGGGGTATCTTAGAACCTGAATTTTATTATTCTTCCACTCCCTGAACAGTACTGGCAGTTTACCATGAATTAGTGCCTCATTACCAAGACCTTGGCCTATGATTGGGGTTTTAATATATGTCAATACATTTTCATTGCATTTCAATATATGCTTCTCAGGGTGATCAAAAGGAGTCATCCCAGTAACTGTTTGCATATTAAGAGCTTGGTACGTATCTATGTTAATAAGTACTGTGTATGTGACTGGAAGGGCGGTGTATTTCAAATAGTTACTAGAGGATAACTATGTGTAATTTTGAATTGTGTGTTACCTGGTCATAAAAAATGCAAATTACTGGCCAGGTGTGGTGGCTCACACCTGTAGTCCCAGCACTTTGGGAGGCTGAGGTGGGTGGATCACCTGAGGTCAGGAGTTCAAGACCAGCCTGGCCAACATGGCAAAACCCCATCTCTACTAAAAATGCAAAAAGTAGCTGGGCGTGGTGGTCGATGACTATTTGGGAGGTAATCCCAGCTACTTGGGAGGCTGAGGCAGGGGAATTGTTTGAACTTAGGAGGTGGAGGTTGCAGTGAGCCGAGATCATGCCACTGCACTCCAGCCTGGGCTACAATAGTAAAACTCTGTCTCAAAAAAAAAAAAAAGAACAGACATGGTGACTCATGTCTGTAATCCTAGCGCTTTGAAAGGCTGAGGTGGTATCACGTGGTCAAGAGATCGAGACCATCCTGGCGAACATGATGAAACCCCATCTTTACTAAAAATATAAAAATTAGCTGGGCATGGTAGCACACACCTGTAGTTCCAGCTACTTGGGAGGCTGAGGTTACAGTGAGCTGAGATTGCATCACTGCACTCCAGCCTGGTGACACAGTGAGACTCCGTCTCAAAAAAAGAAAAAAAAAAAAGCACATTACTTAAAATCATGCATAGAGGTCCAAGTTATGGGTTGTTTGGAAAAGTTCATGAAAAGAAATCCCCAAAGTGAAATATTATTGTGAAATCAGACAAAAATTCAGTTTATTTTCCTTTAATGGAATCTACACTTTACTAGCTTGGAGCATTATAAAGATAAATTAGAGACACATTGACGTTAAATTCTAAAACAGTTTTAATGTATATAATGGCCTCAATTTAATAGGAGCAAAGTTCAATTTAGTATTTTGTGACACTTTATTTAAGTTCAGGTGGGAAGAAAATGCAGCCTTCACATTACTTCATATTGCTTAGTAGAGGCAAAAAGTAATGATGATGCCATGATTATTTATGAAAAGGCCCAAAAAGAATGTCTTGGAGAGGGTCAGGCAACCCCAGGGAAACAGGCTTGGGAGTGCTAACTTTCTCTCTGGCTAACACAGCCTTTTTTGGGGTCCCTTTACTCTGACCTTCCTCCTGCTTTCAGTTCTGGGAGATGATTGGTGAGGAGCATGGGATCGACTCAGCTGGGAGTGACTTTGGGGTCCCTTTACTCTGACCTTCCTCCTGCTTTCAGTTCTGGGAGATGATTGGTGAGGAGCATGGGATCGACTCAGCTGGGAGTGACCGCGGGGCCTCGGCCTTGCAGCTGGAGAGAATCAGTGTGTACTACAACGAAGCCTACGGTAGGCCCTGGGGGCTCTGGGAGCAGTGATCTGGCACCTGGGAACACAGACAAAGGAAAGGCAGAGGCCCAGGAGACAGAAATGTCAATGCAGTGATGTCCAGGCTCAGGGAGGTGGCAGGCAGGGCAGCAGGATCCCCAGAGTGGTGGGTCCCCAGCCCCTGGTCAAGAGCCAGCACTGGGGAAGAAGCTGCTGGATGGGGCACACACCTTAACAGGAGCAGGTGAAGTACTCACTTTCCTCTGTGGTTTCACAAATGAAACCAGAATCATTTCCAGTATGAAAGAAGAGAATCTCTGTCACTGGCACTATCACAGAGCAACAATGGAAAGTGTTTCTTGGGTATTCTATAGATTTGTGAGATTGCTGTTGGGGTCAAAAATATGATGTTAGATACTCAAATCTCAAACTACCAAGGGCCCCTTTCTAGAATATCCATGATTTTTTTGGACCAGTATGGCAAGGTCTATTCTGATAACTTTCAGAAAAACAAGCATGCTGACTTTTTCCTATTTTTCTACACAGGTAGGAAATATGTGCCCCGAGCAGTCTTGGTGGACCTAGAACCTGGGATGATGGACAGCATTCGATCTAGCAAATTAGGAGCCCTCTTTCAACCCAACAGTTTTGTCCACGGTAGGTTTTTCCAGAAGGTTCCACCAGAAGGAGAGGCAGATGCCTTAATGGTGCCCTTCTCTTTTCACCTTGCTGGTTACTCTTTTTTGCCACAGGTAACTTTGGGGCTGGCAACAACTGGGCCAAAGGCCATTACACGGAGGGAGCCGAGCTGATTGAGAATGTCCTGGAGGTGGTGAGGCACGAGAGTGAGAGCTGTGACTGCCTGCAGGGCTTCCAGATCGTCCACTCCCTGGGCGGGGGCACAGGCTCCGGGATGGGCACTCTGCTCATGAACAAGATCAGAGAGGACTACCCGGACCGGATCATGAATTCCTTCAGTGTCATGCCTTCCCCCAAGGTGTCGGACACAGTGGTGGAGCCCTACAACGCGGTCTTGTCTATCCACCAGTTGATTGAGAATGCAGATGCCTGTTTCTGCATTGACAACGAGGCCCTCTATGACATCTGCTTCCGTACGCTGAAGCTGACGACACCCACCTACGGGGATCTCAACCATCTGGTGTCCTTGACCATGAGCGGCATAACTACCTCCCTCCGGTTCCCAGGTCAGCTCAACGCAGACCTGCGCAAGCTGGCAGTGAACATGGTCCCCTTCCCCCGCCTGCACTTCTTCATGCCCGGCTTTGCCCCGCTCACGGCCCAGGGCAGCCAGCAGTACCGGGCCCTCTCCGTGGCTGAGCTCACCCAGCAGATGTTCGACGCCCGCAACACCATGGCTGCCTGTGACCCCCGCCGTGGCCGCTACCTAACAGTGGCCTGCATCTTCCGGGGCAAGATGTCCACCAAGGAAGTGGACCAGCAGCTGCTCTCCGTGCAGACCAGGAACAGCGGCTGTTTTGTGGAGTGGATTCCCAACAATGTCAAGGTGGCTGTTTGCGACATCCCGCCCCAGGGGCTGAGCATGGCCGCCACCTTCATTGGCAATAACACGGCCATCCAAGAGATCTTTAATAGGGTCTCTGAGCATTTCTCAGCCATGTTCAAAAGGAAAGCTTTTGTGCACTGGTACACCAGCGAAGGGATGGACATAAACGAGTTTGGGGAAGCTGAAAGTAACATCCATGATTTGGTATCTGAGTACCAACAATTTCAAGATGCCAAAGCAGTTCTAGAGGAAAATGAAGAGGTCACAGAGGAGGCAGAAATGGAGCCAGAAGATAAGGGACATTAACCATGAGAGAAGCTGAGCCACGGAGCCACTTACAGAACAGTTTCTCATTAGATTAGTGTTTCTCCTGCAGCCCTCCAAAACCCATTCTGCACTGCAGCACAGTGAATGATACGCACTCATCATTAGCTTCAACACAGGGACTGCGGGAGATGGGGTGGGGAGCAGCTGACAGGCATTAGGGTCTTTGCTGACATTTACTAACTTTGACATTAAATGCATACTTATTAACTTAAAAATATAGCAAAGTGTAAAGTGCTCCCTTTGTTTCAAAGCGTTCACTGGCTATTTATGATATGACTTGGGCGAGGGATCCAGACTATACGTGTGGATCTGCAGGAGCCATTGCAGCTGGTGTTAACGTTTTAACCTTGAGCAGCACTGATAAGCACCCTGGAATCCTCACTTGGTATCCGAGGGCTACTAAGTCTCTTCCCTTAGGTTCTCTCCTCTGAGCAAACACTGCCTGGCATCCTGCCTCCCTGTGCCTGCCAGCCTTCACAAGAGCCAGGTGCCTGACTAGTACATGGGGAGCTACAGAACCAAGGTCAATGTGAGTCAACATCCACTAGAAATAATCCATGTTGTGTGGACCTGTGCACACAACCTGCTAACTGGAAAAGAGGAAAGAAGAAAAGCCACAGTCCTCCCTAGAAAAACACCTGGTCCAAACATGAAAAACAAAAAGAAAAGCAAACTAATCTGCAGCCCTCTGATCTTTATTTCTTTGAACATGTAGGTTTATATATTTTAAATTTCTTATTAGTGTTAGATCCCAGGAACTCATTAATAATCATCCTTGGTTTTCCTTTTAAAGGCTCTTTTGAAGTGCTCTTTTCACTTTCATTCAGTAATCACCCCCCAAAAAGCTCCGCAGCCTCTTTGAGAAAGGGCACACCCTCTGATCAGCAACCATTCAAATGCAGGAATGAAGCAGCAGCAGCTGCAGGCTGCAGTGTCCTTCTCAGTTACGGAGAACATCGTCTCATTAAGGAACTTTTACAGTTCAAATTAATTTGCAGAAGTTGCCATAAATGTTTGCATGACACAGCTTTAACCACGACATGATTTTAATCTGCTCACATTACAACAGGACCAAATACACAAGAGCGCAATCAAATCAACCATAACTTCTTAATTACAGTTTACCTATTTCTGACAGGCAGCACTGCTATCTCTTCCAGCACCACCAGGGTTTTAATGACCCTCTAGAATTACCACTGAGATACACTATTTGATCCATGGATAACTGGTAATGGGAAAATGCTCCGACCCTCACTGCAGTAAATATTTACTTGCAGGCAACTGGGTTTTCATCTCAATTTGCTTTTGTAATCAGCAATAATAAAATAGCATGTGAATGGATGACAGTTGCTCATGCTGAGAAACTTCACTCTTCTCACGTATGCATCAGGAGGAAATAACTAAAGTATGTATCAAGAGAAAAATACCTTGCCATTGGGATCAGCAACAAGTCTTCTATTTACAAACTTCAAAAAACACAAAACCACCATCATGTTTTCAACACTTTCTACTTGTGGTTCAAGAAGCACTAGATTTAGTAAGAAACTGCACCACTGCACCTATATACTTAGCTTGTAGTAACTTCCTGAGATGCTAAAGACCCCACCCCCTGCGATTATACAAGGATTTAAACATGCTTCCTCTGGTGCTTTACTTTCCAAACCTAAAGACGCAATGAAATAGATGTAAGGAGAGATGGATTTAAACCTTTAAAAAAACTTGTGATTTACATTACTGTAAAGATTTGCTTGCTCAATAGTAATCATTAAAGTATAAAATAATGTGGCAAAACTGCTTTATTTCAGACTAAATCAATTCCTTTTCTTGAAGCCTAACCACCCAGACTGAGTAGTTAAAAATATTTAGAAATGCATCCCACCATCCTACTCTTTTGTATGGTATAAATAGATTTAAAAACACAAAACACAAACTAGAAACGTAGAGAAATCTGTCCCTTCTGATTTTGAAGTGCTTATTCCTTTAGCAGTATGGTTGCTACGGCGACATTGGTCTCTCAGAGACCAAGACAGCAGAATCAGAATCTTCGAGCTTATCCAATTCCTTCACTTCATACACAAGGACTACGTGAACTAAGAGACTGAATCCCTCAAACATCACCCAACTGGTTAGTGGGATACCCACAGGTTGTCTGATTGAGGTCACCTCATCTTTGGGCATAGTTGTCCTGTCAGCTACCCAGCAGCGCTGAAGGCAGGAAGTTTATTTCATTATACTACTGGTTCAGGATTTTTTTTTTTTTTTTTTTTTAAATCACAGAGAAAGAGCCTCAGAATCTCTGCCGGATGGTAAACTTGTCTTTTATTCAGTTACTTCACTCTTTTCCACATCACAAGCCCTGTCCCTAAGTCTCACCTCTTAAGCATCCCATCTGCCTCCTTAATGAATTACATATCTCTAATTACTTGACTGGAAAAAATTTAGCCCCTTTATTAGTTACTTTATTCATCCTGTATCAAAAAGGCCCTACAAACCTGTGATTCATTTATTCCTGTTCCCTGTAATAGAGGATGCTTCCTAGTAACTTAGTCTTGGGGACCACAGCACTGAACTGAGGTGTCCTAACTTGCAAATAGCAGGCTGACAGCTCTGAGGCAAAGGACTCCAGGGGCTCCTAACGTGCTGTTGTCCAAAGGCACTCTTTCCCACTCAATTGGCTGGGCCTCCCTGCTCACTCTGTGCTGAAAATTCAATAAAACCTACAGGTCAAGTATTGGGACAATAAGTCATTCCCAGAAGCTGGGACAAAGACTTTCTTTTCGGCTTGACCTCAGCATTGCTGACAGTGGCCCTGATAAATTCTTGTGAGCTTAAGTACCATAGTGAGAACGGGTCCTAGAACGGTGTTTCAAAATTTCCAGTTCAAATTTATTTATCCATTCTCCAAATACAGTTAAAATCAGGCAACTAACTTTGTATTTTACCTGGCCAAGTGCTTCCAAGTTTCAAAGAAAGATAAAAACAGTAACTTGCAACAATTATTCATCCCTAAATAATCAATGAATGAAATGACTATGAAAATACCATGAAACTGCATTGTGATCATCATGCCCCAGACCTGCAGTCAAAAACTTTAGATTGTAATCTTAGTTTGGCCATCAACTCAGCAAGCAAGTTATTAAATAGCTTTGCCTCATTTCCTATGAGAAATGTTACCAGAATATAAAGATTCATTTACAAAACAATGTGAAAAGCACTTTTTGCTTAAAGTAATTGTTCTTATCTATAGGTTTTAAGTGCATAATACAAAAAACGTGAGTAAAATTTAGTATTTCTTCTTCTAATAAGCACTTTTAGTATGAAATAATTACTTTCATTTAGGTTACTGATAACCAATTCATTACTCTGACAACAATTCAAAAATAAGGGACCACAAAGCGTCAATGACAGCAGACAATTCTGATCGCCAATTAATGTCATGAAACAACAATTTTGAGACATTTTCAAAATGCATTCTGCATCCCTTTGATCACTAAATATTAAATCTGGCTTCCTGTGCTTTTAAGAAACTCTGGTTCACATGGCCATAATCATGCAGCTGTGCAGACAGTTCCTCCAAAGAAAATAAAAGTCTGACAGAAACTAAAAATCAAGAGTAACAGTGAACCATACTTCAATTTATTGACATTGTCAATTTATGAACAAGACAGGATTTTTTTTCCCCATGAAATAAGATCCTTTCAATCTGCCGTAACATGTGGCCACACATCTTCACCTTGGAAATACGGCATATCAAGCTTTAGTCAGGGTCTAGGAAGAAAAAGAAAACGCAACAGTTGCCGGCTAGTTCTTGGGTGTTTTCTTAAAAATTCAACATGAATATAAGAAATAACTTCCTTATAGTGAACTGTATAACTGTGGCTATAATTCACGTTGCCTTGGCTTGGATGTAAAAAGTGCTGGTTCAAGTACACAGGCTTAGTCAAGCAGGCATTTCTCGGCTGAGTAAAAGTAAACACTCTCCCAGTAATAAAGAAACTACTTTGCCTTTAAAAGACACTCACATCTCCTGTGCTAATGAGGTGAGGTTCCTAACCCCGAAGGACATAACAGAGAGGGGCTAATGCTTTGTTTAAGGGGATCGGACAGTACTTCCCCACCGCCAGGACACCGCAAAATCTCGGCAAAATCTCGGCATTTGATGCAGAGTCTGGTGGTTCTGCTGCAGAGCGGTGTGAGGCTAAATGATTTTCTCTTAGTTTATTGTTAAAACAAAACAACCCAACATAAAACCAGGTCTCATTACTCAGAATTATGAGATTAGACAGCCCCTAGAAAAAGGGCTAAATTCAAAACACTGCACCTCCAGACTTATTAGTAAATAAAATATTTACTAATTCAAAATGAAAATAAAAAGTGCTTAGGGGAGACAGTTCCAATAAGTAAAATTGCTCATAACCATAAGCTGCCAAAGGATTACTATTTCTCACATTTCTGTGCTATCGTGGGTCTGAAGCTTTTTAAAAGCAAATCAAGAAAATTAAATCTGGAAAACATCTCTGACAATTTGCTTTGCCTACCTTTGAAATAACAATGTCAAGAAAGTACTTCGGAGATAAAACTACTTTTATAATTTGGAACACAAAAGTCTACACTTAGCAACTGTACAGAACTTTTTATTTCATGAGAATGTAACTTTACATCACCAACATCTTTGAAAAGTAAAATGAACCAAACCCTCTGAAAGCATAATAAATTTAGCAAAACAGTATCCACTGGAGGGTCTTGCAGATTTTATTGCTTGATACAACAGCAGGACCCTTCCCTGTACTTGTAGTTATTATGTTCGGGAAGTAGCGATTTGTGAAAACATTAGTAGATGTGGTGGAAATAAAAATGTAAAGAACTGTAATTTTTCATGCTCTTGAACTGTTATGTTAACTCCAATAGCAATGATAAAAGTGGGGAGTTCATCCTCCAAATTATTTGATTTGTGCAGACAAATGAAACAGGTTTAATTAAAATAAGATGGCTCTCTACCTAAGCATTGCTAAATGAACTCAAAATCAATGTGCCAATTACTTCTGCTTGGCAGGGCCTGAAAAGACTTTCTTTTTATTAGGCCACGGGACTTCTATAACCTGTATGATTTAAATTATATTATCCCAATAACTAACTTCCAAATACACTGACTAAAAAATGAACTGAACCCCAAACTAAAATTATTTTGATATTTATGCTGTTCCAAAAACTTCAAATGCAACTGTTCTAAGTCAATCAGTAACTTACAGATTATTCCTTCTTTACTTTCACAATTTTTACATTGCTGCCAGCAGTCTTCTCGGCATTTGCTTTGAATTCTGTCTTCAATGCATCTCTCACTGCTTTTGCACAGATCTGGGAATATCGAATGTAGCTGGGAGAAAATGAAGGTATGTATTAATTATCAATATTCCAGCCAGACAGCTGTTACTGTGCTTTCGCTTTTCTTCCTGTACTTTTTATTTTGGTTTGGTTGTACCTTAGTGTACAACTGGATTTAAAAATATGACTAACGTCAAAAAGAATCTATACAAAGAAAAATAGCACTAGAAACAAATGTACAGAAGTATTAACTGGTGTTTGGATGCATGATCTTTGATTTTTCTTCTTTGTACTGTTTTCTCTTTATATTAATTCAAAATAAAAGCTGCATAAATGTTTTTAAAAATCCCACAGCACGGAAAAAAAACAGACCAAAATGTTAACAGAGACTATAACATGATTAATCAATTCTCTCTCTCCTTAAAACTTTAATTACATTATTCTTGAAAGGTGAGGTATACGTAACTAAGAGAAAAAACTATTTTGAATTAAAACAGTTCTTCCTGTACTAACTTATTTAAAGGCTTTCCTGAGAATACTGAATTCTGCATCACAAATCTGCCACTGAAAATACTTACTAATCAAGATTTCTAAATTAAACTGAAAAGTGCATAGAAAACCTCATCAATGCTAGCAAAATTGTAAAACCTGCTTCCTGTTTGGTAGATGGACTGCCATCAACAACGTAGTTTCCAAAAGATGTCAGATCACCTTTCACACTTTTGAAAAACAGGAAGCGGGGAGGGGTGCTGTCTATTTTCTCATGTTTTAGAATTTATTTTGGGGACTCAGAGGTATGAATTCCAATGCCGGCATCCATTCTTACTAACTGGGTGACCTTCAGGCTGGTCAACCTTTTCAGCACCTTTATTCGCCTGAAAAAACAATAGAATAAAAGGATAATACCTGTCCTGCTGACAGCTGGGAGGAGGAAAAACAAAGTGTGAAAAGGTACGGATCACAGGAAAGTTGGCTAATAAACGGCGTCTACTACTGGGACTATCATCCAGTAACAGATCTTCCATCTTCCAGTTCTACAAGACTGCTTGCTTGACCTCAGCAAACCGGGAAGCTTAGTTGTAGAGCGGTCACATATACCCACAAAATGGAAAGTTCAACACCGTCTAGTCAACGAATAAGGTGTGTCTGTCACCTGGAGCATGGTATTTCTGCTCATTCAAGTGCATGGGTCAGATGTGACACCTACAACCAATGGTTTGTGGTTCCACTATGAGACACCATGTCCTCAAGTGGGTTCCATATTTGATCTTTCCAGGAATCAACTCTCACCTTTGTGAGGGGCTCTCTACAGTTTACCAATGACTTTCACCCCTTTTACAGATAAGCAAACCTGAGACTGACAGGACTTAAAGGTTTAAAAATATGTGTAACGTCGTAAAAGACTCTACCGCGATGCTGGATTAAAGATCAAAGCTGCCAACAGCGGTCACGTGGAAAAAAATCTCCTG